GTTACCAACATCTGGTGAAAATTTCATGTCATTAGCACCTCTAGTAATATATTTACTGAGAAAAATGTTGACGTGTTCAATACTTATTTTACCCGCTGTATATTATTCAGTGTGAATGTTAATAAAATTACACTCATGTGAATTATTACGACATTTGAGGTTTGAGCAATCCAGTTAGGTCCTTACCCTGCACGGACTAGCTGTTAGCTTGTCAGCCTGATCAGAATTAAACTCTAATTAAATCTCCAAACTGAGGTCATTCAAAGAAATTCCTACAACACGTAAAATATTGAACTAATCTTTTAAGTTTCATTTGTTAAATAWAATAAAACAGAAGGACAAGTTTGTGTTAGCACTTATACCAGGTATTAAATTGAATCCTTTCAGTTTATAAACCTACATAGTAATAATGTCACACAGTATAAGTTGTGTTTGAGAGCTCCATCAAACAACGTGCTGGCAGCTTTACAATCAGAAGSARAAAAATCAAACCAGACGCCGCTCATAGGCGAGATGTCACGAGGCGCAGTTGGCAAAGTCATCAAAGTAGAGAACGCACCTTGAACGTATCTGGATGTTGTATTGTTGTGTCACCCTGACCCTAAACGGTGTGGCGCGTTTCCAGGAAGCCTCCCTAAGGTGAAAGTCTGTGTGCCATCAAACAGAACAAGAAGCCAGTTATTTTTAGGTTTACACTCCTCTCTAGGTTAAATGAGTGTTTTTACTGAGAGGTCACACAAATGTTGCACAGGTTGGTACACCTGAAAACTATTTATAATTTATATATTTTTGATATATCTTTTTATTTTTCTTTAACCTAAATAGTAAATCTGCAGTGCATTTCTAGAGTTAGACAGTGAGAGCTGCCTGTCCTGGAAGCCATCGGTATTTATTTATCTTCTCTTCAGATCCGTTACTAGTTTTATACTGACCGCATTTAATGAAAACAGGGAAAAACTCATCGGCTTTGAAATAATCTTTAAACCCAGAATTAATGACCAGCAAATACTTTAATTTTGTCACTCACCTTTTTTTTTATTTATTCTGTTTGTAACTGGCTTTGTGTTGACAAACTGAACTCCTGCTTAATTTATTTTTTATGCTCAATCTTTAAAATATTTTTACTCTAAACTTGAAATCTGCTCATTTTAATCGTATTTTCTGCACATTGCGACCAGTACGGTGCAAGAATCTGCCTTTTCTAAGTTGGACTTCAGGTTCCTCGGCTGCTTCTCAAACTGTGGAGTCAGTTTGTCTTCATTTGGCCTGAAATGCTTCTTTTTCTCTTTATTTTATTTTATTTTTTGGGAGTTCAATCGAACTTGACCTGTTTTGTAGATTATTAGTTGATCTATATAATAGTAGCTATGATTTGGTTTAAATTAACTWAATGCTGCTTCTCTGCTTCTCACTAAAAGTACAACTACAGCTGTCAAACTAAGGGATTACTCGTTTACAGCTCAGTTATGTTCATTTTGATCTTCACCCACAACATTAAAAACACTTTAAARTTAGGGTGAGTAATTTTYTGAGGTGTARAAAGTACTTGAAATAATAACAACRTAAAAGTAAAAATACSTCAACAGAAAATGACTGGTAAAAATAAATTTCACTGATAAGAAAAGTACTTATCGTGAGCAAAAGTAATAATTGGGAAAGTTAAAGTACTTTTACAATCACTAAGACGAGTTGAATAAATGTAAAGCAATTTACCCAAGCTAAGTTCAATGGAACCAGTAAATATAACTTGGTTTAATAAATTCAACCCTTCATTTTTAGACTCTTTTACTTTAAAATATAACAGCTCGTTACACGCTGCAAGTTTAAATATGACCAGAATTCATCATGAAAGCAGTAAAAGTATAGTTTTTATGTTTTGAATGTAACGAAATAAAAGTAAAAGTTAAGATTTATAAAAAAATATGGTAAAATTACAGATCAGGCAACAATAGGCCTCTGATAATATTCACCTATAGGTGACGGTCAGATGGGTCGATGAGTGGGTCGGAGCAGATCTAAAACAGCCGGTGYTACCGACTGGTCCACAGCTCAGATTAAATGCAGGGAGTGAGAACACAATCCGGGATTAACAGCTGTGAATGTGTCACCATGGTAAATAATCTGCAACTCCTTTTTTTATACAAGTTTAGGATAAGTCAAGTCAGGATTATCAGAATATTGCATCTAGTCTCAGTTTTGTGAAAAATCCTCGGGTTTGATTCGTTTACTCTTCTGGTGAAGGGAGTGGTGAGATGCATTGTGGGAAGGAGATAACCAAATTGAATATCCCTCTTGGTTCAGGTGGGATTGTTTTTGATGTGGAGAAGTGGTTATTGAGCATCATTATGCATCACACATCWAACCTGCTCCAATGAAGAATTATTAAATATCTCTGTTCTCGTTCACACGTCTGAACTAAATCCATCCAAATAAACCGTAATAAACGTAATGAACAGCTCAGCGGAGTAAACGAGTGAGCCGTTTCTACTGATTCACCCTGTTTGTTTATTTTTGTGTGTTCTATGCATTCAAGCATGCGGTTTTGATTCCAGTGAACGTCTGCAGTAAAATCCTGCCTCTAACTTTGGTTTTATTCTGTCAACAGTCACCCAGAGTGAAAGAAGGAGCGCCGAATTCAGAGGTGAGTTTAAAGGAGACCTTTGGCTCGTCTGATGGAATCCTGTAAAACTAAAAGACACTATTACTAAAACTATATTTATTCATACTATTTTATTGTGTATGTATTAAAACATCACTAAGAGATTATACAGTCTGCTTTCTTATTGAAGGTGAGATAAGACTTTCATTTACCAGAGATTTATTTATTCTTTACACTTAGTTCAGTACTTGACCATTTGAGGGATTTAAAAAAAATTATTTTTGTCGTTAAGCCACTTAAACGCTGGTCTGTAAATTGTTCAGACAGAGAAGAGTTCATTGTTCTAAATCGGATCTTTAGACCAGTGGTTCCCAAAGTTCGGGACCCTTTTGTGGGTCACAAAACATCAAGTGAGGGTCCCCAGATGATTTCCAGACATCTTTTTTTTTCCAGACATTAATTTAAATGTAAAAAAAATTTTCTAATGGAATAATTTCACCATAATTAATGCAATTTTTAAAACAATAATCATAAATGAAGACAATAGTATTGTAGTTGTTAGATATATTTATTTTATTGTTATTCCCATGTTTAAGAGAGTTATTAGCAAAGTTTGCGTAAGTGAAAAGTAATATCTGAGGTCATGAGTGTCTGCAACTTTTTGTGGACCGGAAGCAACAAAGTTTGAAAACCTTGACTGTTTGTTACCACAACCTTTAACTAACTTGTAAAAAATTTAAAAAAATACCAAAGATTACATGGTTTGAAGACTGAAAATAATATATTTGTAACAACAAGGTGATCCTCAAAAAGCTGTTAGCTGAAAACYTACTGTTCATTTTTTTTAAAAGCTGTATAATCTAAGTCAGATACAAGGACTGAAACGAGTAAAAACAGCTGAATAAAAAAAAAGGCTTCAGAAAGCCTGAAGAGTTTTTGATAAAGGTCATTTTAATAGATTAACTGGCTTCAGTTAAGGTCCTGTCACACTAGACAACTTATACCAACGTATGAAACATTTTTTATGTCTAAATTGCAAATAAAATAAGTTGGRATTACAGTATGTACACGCCGAAGAGAAGCTTCCGGGTGATTTCTTCAATTCTATCTTCAGCGTAGATGTTTTTAAAATGTTCATAAGTTGTCTAAAACGTCATAGTGTGACAGGGCCTTTTAGGAATGTTTTTTATAAGTTTTGATTACGATTGAACAACCAGTTTATTTATTTATTTATTTATTTATTTATTTTCTCAGATGTTCCCGATTCCTGAGCCTTTAAGTAGTCACCTCCAGCCTCCGGCCACAGGTCAGCTGGAGCTACCTCAGGCTGCAGGTCAACCTCCGCTGCAGCCCACGCAGGTCAACCCCCAACCAACGGCCCTGGCTGAGCCCCCCCCGCTCAGTGTGCCCACTCAGGCCAGTCACCACAGCTGTTTCAAAAACCTCGTAGTCTCCCAAAAACATGAACGTTGACTGTTTTTTTTTTTTGTGAAATTAATTATATGCCTTTGTTCCAACAGATCCCATCAGCTTCAGGCGACGTTCAGTCTCCAATTAGTTTGGTATTAAGGTTAAGGTACGTCTCTGCCTTTCAGAGCTCTAATTAAAAATGAGAAAATCAGAACTGATTTTATGTTTGACATCTCTTCCATTCATATTTTCTTTTTTTGTTTTGTTTTCACCCAGAAATTCAAAGAAGGAACTAAATGACATCCGCTTTGAATTTATGCCAGGAAGGGGTAAGTGGAGGATTTTTTACTTGTTATAAGAAAAAAAAGCATTGCATTGTACATTTTTTTTTGTGAAACTTTAATTCTCAAGTGTTTCTTCACCAAATAAAACAATCTAATAGCAGCAGGATAAAATGTTTTAGTCTTTTCTCCTCATTAGCTTTTTAACTAAATGTCCTGAGGTGGAGATGTGCTGGTCAGATATGGGGAACCAGTAAAAGGAACAAACACTTCGTACATTTAGTAAAACCTCTTTAGAACATTAGGTTTCATTTTCATACACACAGACAAAATAAATGCTGAAATCAGCTCCTTTTCAGCTATATTTGACCCTTCACATCAAACTGAGGATTAAGTCAGATTTGGTCAAAATGACCTGAACACATTTTCWGATTCTGGTATTCCCRGTACCAGGGGCAAAACTGCACTTCCTGTTTTCTGTTTCTTWTAACTTCTGTCAACTTGTAATCTGTCCTGTAAACATAGACATCTTAAGTATGCACAGAAACATCAACATCCTGTCTAAAAGCTCATTGATACATTCACCTAATACAGTTAAAACCTCAAGCAGCTGAAACAGAAATTAAACAAATTTGCATCAACACAAATCTGTAAGAAATGCAAGTCAGAGAAAATACCAAAATATGCTGTAAATTAAAAAAATTGGTCACGCTAAAGTCAAACGTTAATTTCTCATCGTGTCAGGGTGCGATGGTGACTGAAAAAAAACCCTTCAAAAACAAATCTTTTCAGGCAGTTAAGTTAAGAATACTCGTTACTGCGATTAAAAAGAAAAAACAATTTTTTTAACGTGTTGATACCAATGTGACAAAACACCAAATTATATTTTCACTAAAACATCCATAACGCTTTGGTTTTCAAGAGTTTTTAGCCTTATTCATTATATTTCTAAAAGGGTCTATATATTATCATTTAATGCAAAAAAACAGATTCTTGTGGGGAAAACTAAATTCAGTTCCATCCTCAGTATCTCTGAATCTTCTGATAGAATTTCCCAAATGTTAGCTTTATTTTGATAATAACCTTGGATTATTACAGCTTCAAGCAAAGCACTAACAGCTGCTTGTATCGCCACCACTTTGATTTATATTCAACATGATGGCTCACATATTGGTTGAATGTGCTGATTCAGCAGAGTGTCTGCACTACGACCGCAAAATAGTTTGGAAATGATTAAGCGGCCTTCATTTGCCACGAGTTTTGAGTTTTGGGTCTTGGGTCTCATGTTTGGGGTGTGCAGACACAGCAGATGGCGTGTCCCAGGAGCTGGTGTCAGCAGGTCTGGTGGACGGGAAAGACCTCGTAATAGGTGAGTCGTTTTCTGAGAACCCGGAAACACCTGAAGGTTAAAAATTAAGCTTTTATTGCAAACTGTAAACAGCCCTGCTGCAGACTGTTATCTGTTTTTATAGTTTTATTTTCTGTTTATTTTCTCTTGTCTGTTGAATTGCATCTAATTTAACTTCAATACTTTTTTTTTACCTTTATTACTTGATCTTCCTTCAGCAAATAGTTGTAAACTACACACTGTAGTTGTGTAAAATTTGTATTAATCAATAAAAAGTTAAGTTTGTGGCTATACTGATGCTCAGGGAGAGAAGTCTATTATTTAATTTGATTTTTTTGTTTTGTTTATACATTTGTGTTCAAATCTCTTCAGATGTTCTCTGATGTCTGAGATCAGATGAACATTCAGCTTTAAGCTTCAGTTAAAAATCATTTCAGTTTTCTGAGATGTTGTTTTTAACAAATCACAAATCCGTATTTTTCATGTCTTTGGGGTTTGAACGCTTCTTTGTCCGAGGTGGTACTGATTATTAACTCTGAGTGCAGAAGAATCAGAAATCACCTGATGAATGAATGAATGAGTCTTTATTGATCCCATGAAGGGAAGTTACAGTTCATCATCTAATGCAAGAAACAATGCAATAGACAGAGTTTCCCCCACATCTGTTAGAAACAAGATTTCTTTTATAAACACCTCATTTAGGACAGACACTGACTGATTTATTGATTTTTCTATCTTTGCAATAAATCATTAATTTTTCTTTTCAGTTGCTGCAAATTTGCAGAAAATAGTTGATGAGCCTCAACCCAGTAAAAATGTCACTTTCAGACTGGTGAGTGATATTTTTTTATCTTTGTTTTAAATTCAGATTGTAATTTTTTTTTTCCAGGAAAAATTTTTTTATGATCCAACATTGTGGATATTTATAGTTCATATTCTAAACAACTAAAAGTCATTCAGTTAATTATTTCTACATTGTAAACATAAAGATTTTCAGGTAATAGTTGAAATGTGTCAATGCTTTAAATATTTGTACCTTTTTAAATAGTGGGGCGCACCCCCTCGCAGTGAGACGTCGGGGGGGATTCTTCCTTTTGTTCATTTATTTTTCTCTTCTTTCTCCAGGCCTCTGGAATCGAGGGATCTGAAATTCCAGATGATGTCAAGTTGATGGGCTTCGCTCAGCTCACCATTTGTTAAAAATAATCATCCCACTTGGGACCGTGACTTGCCTAAAAAAATGTGAAAATAATAATAAAAAAATAGTTTAATGCTTTTTCCCCCCCCATGGCTGTAAAGAAACCACTACTGCCAAAGAAAATAGTACCATTTTTGCTACCCATAGGATTATCTGAGACCGCCTTGTTGGATCTGAAGCGTCAGAACGTACGGTGGGGAAATAAAAGTTTACAGTGTAAATGTAGAACGATGTGAGCGTTTACAAAAAAAACAAACTGCTTTCATTTCACCAGTCTGATTTCCCCTCGTTCTCTTTAACATGTGATGCATTTGCACAATCTGAACTAACGCCCTTGAATCCTGATTCTAAACAGTAACAATGCCTTATTTTCATAAGAACTACTGAATGCACGTTTTTCAGGATGTCTGCTGTTACCGTGTTGTCTGAGATGCACAAATGTGGCTTCAGGTGCTAATGCCAAATTATTTACTTTATATTATAGAGGTTTTTTTTTAACTTGACCGAATGAAAATCAAACGTATTACTTTTTTCCTCTTTCTTTCTCCAGAAGAATGTGATCATTATATGTCTTTACAAAGTGAGGTTGGTTATATTTATCTTTTTGRGACCTTCAGTTTTAAAAATCTCCACTATCTAGATAATCTAGATATTTTCAGTGTCAAATTTGAAGGCTACAGTTTTACTCWAATTCAAGTCACAGTTTTTCAAGGTAATAAAATTTCTTAGAAATAAAATAAAGGCAAAATACAGACAAATGTTAAGTTTGGCTACAATAATTTAAAAGTGTTTTCTCTCC